TGTGTCTGCAGTGGGAGAACTTATGTGCTGGAGACACCTCTCTGGGGCAAGACTTGCTTCAATGGGGCTTTGGTGCTCACTGAGTCTGCCCCCTGAGTGTGTCCTTTATGGTTCCACGGAGCTGCAAACTGGATGGTCCCACTCTGACCTCCGGATATACTGGCTTCTGGATATCTAGGGAGGTGCTAATCTAGCCTCTGCCTGAGGCTATCCAGCAAAAGCCTCCCTGCAGGGCTTGGGCAGGGCAGGTCCCACTAGATCAACAGGACGGGGCTAGCAGTTATAGCTGCTCTCAGAGGCTCCGCTTCTCAATGTCCCAGTAATCGCTGCAAGCCCCTCTGAGAGAAAGCTGCCCTTGAGTTCTGAATGATGCCAGACAGTCCCATTTCTCGCGTATGAGTCTGGATCCCCAGAGACTCGCTCGGAACTGGAGCTCAGAGCCTGAGACTCCCTCCTGACTGAAAATGACAACCACGCCCTCAGCCACCAGCCCTCTCCACAGGCGCCTCTGTACCTTAGTATTTTACTTGAGCACTGTGCCTCCTCTGAGTCTCGATATGCTTTTCTCTTTCCTTCTAGTTGTGGAATTTCCACTCAGCCAGCCTTCCTGTGGTTCTGGATGATGTCTTTTAGTTGTATTTTTGAAGTGGTTGTTTGAGGCAGCAAACTCCAGTGTTTACCTATGCCACCATCTTGGTTTCTCTCCATATTTTTACTTTAAAATAAAGAAGTTGTGGGAGAAAAAAGAAGTAGAAAGCAATGGAGGATGAAATGATAACCAGTTATCCAAAAAATAAGTACTTAAAATCTAAAGCAATATTTGTAAAAACGTTAATATAAAGATAAAGCTAGGAGTACCAGTGACAAAAATTTATACAGAGGACCTGGGCCATAAAAATTTCAACTCCCAAACACTGATTCATTAGGCTATCATGGCATTATTTTCTAAGTCTTCACTTAATCTCACTCTTGGAAGTTCTTAGTGATAATAGACAAAATAGGAGCAGCTGTGGAGGTGAACATGCACACAATGACAAGTGCAGACTTGCTCAAGGCCTTGAGAACAGTCATTAATGATCCTTCGTAAGTACTACTTCTTTCTATAGGATTACCATTGGTTGTATTAAGCACCATACAAGAACATGTTAGAGATCATGCTTACCTTGCAATGGATCTTTTCCCGTAATCTTGAACCATTCACAATCGTGGTCTTGGAAATCTTCTGGAAAGTACAGTTCATACAATGTCACACTTCCAGCTCAGAAAAATTGGACTTCAATTAACAACTGTTTTATTCTTATTATTTTTTCTATGCCTGCATTTAACCACATTCCGTTAATAATATATTTATTTTACCATCTCCCTACTATATGTGTTAAAATTCTATACAATGAGCAGTGTTCATGTAACAATTCTGTGGCCCTTAGTTTAATTTTTATAACATGTATCATGTGACAAACAAACACAAAATTTCATTCATTTCTTTCTCTTTTGCCTTGTTTCTTATTTGCCTTCCAGCTATAAAGAGAATGTGATGAGGTTATCAAGGATTCACCATGATCAACCTGTAAAGCCCCTGGATCGAGCCGTCTTTTGGATCGAGTTTGTCATGCGCCACAAAGGAGCCAAACACCTGCGGCCAGCTGCTCACAACCTCACCTGGGTCCAGTACCACTCTTTGGATGTGATTGTGTTCCTGCTGGCCTGTGCAGCATCTGCTATATTCTTGATCACAAAATGTTGTTTATTTTCTTGCCGAAAATTTGGTAAAACAGGAAAGAGGAAAAAGAGAGAATAGATCTTTCCAACTTAGGCAAAGTTCTGAGTGGACAAACCTGTTTCTTCCTGCACATCCTTCTTGTTTTCAATTTTCAAGTTCCTCCTTTTTCAGCCTAAAGAAACAGCCTAGAATTCCACAAGATCAGTCACTGGTGAGCATGTCCCATTCTTCCTTTATAACCTCAGCTATGTTTACCCTCTTCCTCTTTATCCACTTTCTGGCCCAGGGACATTATAGTAACTCTAAAAATTGTATTCATGATATCACTATTTTAATTGCATAACCTTCAGTGATATGATGATTGCTGGAGATAACAAATTATGCGCCCAATTTCATGAATGTGGGGATCTGAGAATAATACAACCAATCATATAAACAGGGAAGTGTCCTCAAAAGTTAGTTTGCTATGAAAATAAGATTTCTGTTTTAAATAAAAATAAGCCTCTCTACTTACCCAGTGTTATTAGGATTAGGCCAAAATTGAAAATAATGATGATAAGACATCCTGCTTCGGAATATTTACAAAGTTTCTATAAAGCTCAGCATTGGTCTGCTCAGGTGCCATAACAAAATACTGCAGACTCAGCGGCATAAGCAACAGACATTATTTTTTCACAATTCTGGAAGCTAGATATACAAGATCAAGATGCCAGCCGGGCCTGGCTGTAGTGGCTCAGTGGTTGAGCATGGTGGACCTATGAACTAGGAGGTCACTGTTCCATTTCTGTCAGGGCACATGCCTGCATTGCAAGCTCAATGCCCGGTAGGTGGCGTGCAGGAGGCAGTCAATCAATGATTCTCTCATCATTGATGTTTCTATCTCTCTCTCCCTCTCCCTCTCTGAAGTCAACAAAGATATATATATATATATATATATGATGCCAACAGTGTTGGTTTCTGGTGAGGCCTCCTTGCTGACTGTAGAGAGCAACCTTTACCTTTATCCTCTCATGACCTTTCCTCTGTATGCCCCGGGTAAGAAAAAGATGCCTTATGTCTCTTCCTCTTCTTACATGGATATAAGTCTCCTGGGATTAGAGTCCACCTTCATAACCTAATTTGTTTATAAATATTTTCTTAAAGGTCTTATCTCCAACTATAGACATATTGGGAGTTAAGGCTTAAATATATAAATTTGAGAGAGGTACACACTTTAGTCCATAACAAGCTCTACCAAAAAATTATGCCTGGTTTTTACTTTAATCAATAAATATTTCTCTGTGCCTTTTATGTACTAGGGACAGTTCTGAGCATTTATTTAGACTATAAAGATAGCCAATGGAATGATTTTTTCCCCCAACAAATGAAAATGTCAGTAATGTTTTAAAAGTAAATAGATTATTTTCAAAGAAATAAATTAAAGAATTATAGAAAAATTGTTTTATTAATTTTAATGAGATTTTTAAAGACCAGTACAATTAATCATCTGAAAGTTAAATGTCAATTCATTATATTTAAAGATCACTGGTATTCATAATGTAAGTAATCCTATATAATAAAGAGGTACTATGCAAATTTATCCTCACTACATCACACCACAAAAAGATGGCTAGCCGAAACCGGTTTGGCTCAGTGGATAGAGCGTCGGCTTGCGGACTGAAGGGTCCTGGGTTCGATTCCGGTCAAGGACATGTACCTGGGTTGCGGGCACATCTCCCGTGGGAGATGTGCAGGAGGCAGCTGATCGATGTTTCTCTCTCATCAATGTTTCTGACTCTCTATCTCTCTCCCTTCCTCTCTGTAAAAAATCAATAAAATATATTTTAAAAAAATAATAGATGGCTATGCCCACAATGAAGGCCGGGTTCCTGTAACACAACATGGCTGTTCCCACAGTGGCAGGGGGTTCCCAGAATGAGCCATAAGGAAGATCAGCAGGGACCTGAGACTGCATGGCACCGGGCCAGGTCGGGGGACCTGAGGATGCCCCACCCACCCGGTGGGGCTTGACAAGCAACCTCAGGCCGTGCCCTCAGCCTAGCAGGGCTTGATGGGGACCTCAGGCCACACCCCCTACCCTGGCATTGGACCAGGGGACTTCAGGCCATTCCCCCTGCCCAGCAGGGCTTGATGGGGAACCTCAGGCCACACCCCCACCCAGCAGGGCTTGAAGGGGCACCTCAGGCCATGCACCCCATCTGGCAGAGCTTGACGGGATACCCTTGCACAGATTTCATACTCCAGGCCTCTAGTTCTGTCATAAAGAAATAGGTGTTCCTCTTATTATCAAATAAAAATGATTATCAAAAATATTTTCTTATTTTTATATTAAGAAAAATCAGTTGATCA